GTGGCCTGGCAGGAGAGGGGTCCCTTCTCTGTGGGGTGCTGGGATTTCTGCTGCAGAAGCACGTGCTGGGCTCGCACTTCACCATGCAGTTTTGGGATCTGGGTGTGTTCAGGGCAGGGCGGGACGCTGCTGGGGCTGGCAGGAGTTGAGTGGAGCATGTGTTCCCAGGGGATGTGAGACCCTGTGGACCCTACAGGGTCTGTGCTGGGAGCTTGTGCACAGCACACTAGGGTGGGGGCTGTGCTACTCGTGGGCTGCTGGTCCGTGGGGGTTCAGGTGGTGGCGACCTGGGCATCACTGGGGGGCTGTGGGGTGTGGGAAGCAGTGGAGCCATGGGGTATTCCTCGGGGCCAGCCCCTGCCCTGAGGCTGCGAGCAGGTTGGGCATCAGCTGCCTCCCTCATAGGCTGGCCAGGTGTCCCCTGTGTGCCTCTCTGGGCCAGTCCATGCTGATCCTGCTCTCTACTTCCAGGTGTGAGATGGCTGCTGGCAGCTGCTGCCGCCGCCTCCTCCTCCTCCTCCTCCTGCCCTGGCTGGTCGTGGCCTCGCACAGCCCACCTGCCTGCAAGATCCGGATTACCTCCAAGGGGCTGGACCTTGGTAAGGGGCCGGCCAGGACCCTGCTCCTGGGGCCTGGGTAAGAGGCAGGTTGGGATGCTGCTCCTGGGGTCTGCACCCGGGTAAGGCTGTTGGCTGGGACCCCTGCCTGCACTGCCCACGCGTGGGCTGCATGGAGAGGAGCTGGGGGACTGGCCGGGGGTGATGCTTCCAGGAGGGTGGTGCAGCCTGGCTGTGGCCAGCCCAGGCTCGCTTTGCTTTGCAGTGAAGCAGGAGGGGCTGCGCTTTGTGGAGCAGGAGCTGCAGAACATGACGATGTCAGACCTGCATGGGAAGGAGGGGCAGTTCCACTACAATATCAGCCAGTGAGTGCTGCCTGCTCCCCACGCACGCGGCTCCCGATGTCCATCTGTCTGTCCCACCATCTCTGTCCTCTCCCCTGCAGGGTCAAGGTGATGGACCTGCAGCTGGCATTTTCCGACCTGTACTTCCAGCCTCAGCAGCACCTCGTCTTCAACATCAACAATGCCTCCATCAGCCTGCGCTTCCGGAGACAGTTGCTCTACTGGTTCTTGTGAGCTACCTCCTGCTCCTGTGGGCACCAGCCTACCCCATGGCTGGGCTGCAGCTTGACCGTGCCTGCTGGGTGCCTTGCTGTCCTGCCCTGAAGCTGGTAGGAGCTGTGTGAGCCTCTCATCTGCTCTCCCTGCTTTCAGCTATGACATTGGGTCCATCAATGCTTCTGCGGATGGCGTCTATATCCACACAGTGCTGCAGCTGGCCAAGGACGAGGCTGGGCGCCTGAAGATCTCTAACATGACCTGCAATGCCTCCATTGCCAAAATGCACGCAGGCTTCTCTGGCACACTCAGGTACACCCAACCCCACAGCAGCACCCTTGTCACTCCACTGGGCCAGCTCCTCCTGCACCAGGGTCCCTGCCCCCCCTTTCTGTGCCCTCGGGACTTCTCCAGCCCAGGCTGTGTTCTCACATGGGGATGGAGGGGCATGGCTGGAGCTGCAGGGGAAGGCAGGGAGCTGCAGAGCTGCTGTTGTGTCCTGCAGAAAGGTCTATGAGTTCCTGAGCACCTTCATCGTCACCGGGATGCGCTTCCTCCTCAGCCAGCAGGTATGGCTGAGTGGTGACAGGCGACGGAACCCCAGGGAACCTGGCCTTGCCCCACAGCAGGAAGGAGGGTCCAGGTCCTCATACACACCTGGAGCAATTCCCCTCTTAGCCCAGCCCCTTGCCTTTCAGATCTGCCCATCCCTGGAGCACGCCAGCCTGGTGCTGCTGAACTCCGTGCTGGACACAGTGCCAGGTGAGTCTTGCCCTGAGGGAAGGGATTGGATCCTGCTCACGGTGGGGAGGGCAGAGCTGGGCATCGGGCTGCCAGGTAGCCCACAGGCTTGGTCATGACAGCACATCTTCCCTGGCAGTGAGGAACTATGTGGATGAGCACATTGGGATTGACTACTCCCTCCTGCGGGATCCAGTAGTCTCCACAGATACCCTCGATCTAGACTTCAAGGTGAACACTGGGTCCTGCCCTGCCAACCCTACCAGTCCCCATGGGAGTAGCTGTGCCAGCCTGCACGCTGGGCACAATGGAGCGAGCAGGGTTGGCTGTGCTATGGCTGCAGAAAACTCTCCCGTTCTTGGCCCAGGGCATGTTCTTCCACCGTGCAAGAGAGGACCAGGAGCTGGAGAACCACGCGGTGGAGCCGGTGATCAAGGAGACCGAGCGCATGGTCTACGTTGCCTTCTCCGAGTACTTCTTTGACTCAGCCATGCACGCATACTTCCAGGCGGGTGTGCTGGCCATAGAGCTCGAGGGGGAGAAGGTAAGCAGTGCCAGGTCACCCGGCTGTGCACAGGCAGCTCTCTGCAGGCAGGGGCCTGCTGCCAGGCAGGAGGAGAGCTGGGCTCTGCCTGCTGAGCAGAGGAGGTGCCATCCAGGGAGCAGCTCTGCTGGGATCAACAGCAACTGCTTGCTTACCCAACCGGTGGTATGTCCTCCCTGCAGGTGCCCAAGGACCTCGAGGTCTTGCTGAGAGCTACCTTCTTTGGGACCATCTTCATGCTGGTGAGAGGAGGACCCGGCTGAGGCGGGAGGGACAGGGGAGCCCCTGGGGCAGAGCACAGCCCTGCTCAGCTCTGTGCCTCCGGTTCACCTGCCCTCCCTAGAGCCCCACTGTGGACGCTCCCCTGCGGCTGGTGCTGCAGGTGTCAGCTCCTCCCCGCTGCATCATCAAACCCTCGGGCACCTCCGTCTCCGTCTCTGCCTTCCTCAATATCTCACTGGTGCCCCCAGGCCGCCCCGCTCAAAAAAGGAAAGAGCATTTCCCACCCCGCATGGGAAAGCTCCGCTGTCCCAAAGCAGAGGGACAGCTGGGCCCGCAGAGCAAGAGGAGCAGCCAGCCTCAACAGCTGCCTGCCTGCAGTGGGCACAGCAGGGCTGTGATTCAGCCTTCTCTCTCCTTAGGAAACAAAGCTGAGCGCCAAGGTGTTTCTACAAGGGAAAGCGCTGCGCGTACAGCTGGACCTGCGACGGTACGGCCCACGATGGGGTCCCACAGAGGCTGCGGGGAAGGTCCCCCCCGCGTCTTGCTCACGGCTGCTTTCTCCTCTGCAGGTTTCGCATCTACTCCAAGCAGTCTGCGCTGGAGTCGTTAGCGGTGAGCAGACCCCGTGCCAGCCCAGGGGTTTGGCTTCCCTTGCTAGTCCCCAACCACGGCACGGGATAGGCTCGGGAGGGGCTGTGCATCGCAGGACACCCCTTCTAGTCCACCCAGTGCTAAGTGCCAGCACGCCCTGCCCAGGCAGGCAGGTCTGCTGCTGGTGTGCTCACCCACACTCCTCTCTCCCCAGCTGTTCTCACTGCAGGCCCCACTGAAGACCCTGCTGCAGTTGACGATCATGCCCATCATTAATGGTAGGCACCACTGCTGCCCACACACAGCCAGGCTTGGGGCAGGGGCACAGTGGGACTCTGCTTCACTGCATCTCTCCCTCCCTGCAGAGAGGACTAAAAAGGGGGTGCAGATCCCACTGCCAGAAGGCATGGACTTCACCAAGGAGGTGGTCACCAACCACGCGGTACGTGGCAGGATGGGGACAGCCTAGGTCCCCCCAGCTGGCTTAAGAACCATGTCCTTCATGCTGGGACAGGGTACAGTCACATCCAGCCTTGTCCTAATCCTCTTCCCCTTTGCAGGGATTCCTCACAGTGGGAGCTGATCTCCATTTCTCCAAGGGGCTGCGGGAGGTGATTGAGAAATACCGCCCAGTCCCTACTGCCCACACCTACCCCAGCTCATGGCCTGCAGAGCCCAGCATGGCACCCCACCAGCTCTAGCTCTTCTCCCCACTCGCTCCTTCACCCCGGACCGAGGGCAGATCCCGGGCTGGACCCGTAGACTCTAGGTAGGAAGCAGCTTCCCTGGTACCACTGGCATGTCCTGCAGGGCGCCCGTGCCCTGGTGGGGTAGCAGCAAGGCGGAGACAGCTGCTCTGGGAACCCCTGCTGCACCCCTTCTCATTACACTAATAAACCACGCGACTCCAACCCACATGGCCTCGTTGCTTGAAGGATGTGCCCACGCTGGACCACATGGCTGCCAACATGTGGGGAGAGATGGGGAAGGAAGCAGACACCACTGCTCTCCCAGCTCAGGTACTCGGGAGGCAGACACAGCTCAGAGCAGTGGCAGAGGGGCTCAGAGCAACTGTACTTCCCCTGCTCTCGCGGGTGGCTTGTTTCCAGGCCTCAGTAACTCTCTGCAGAGAGGGGGGGCACAGACCCCTGTGGGTCCTGGCTCCCCAGCACAGCACGTCAGCACTCACCTCTGCTGGATCCTCAGCCCATGGTGTTATTCCTCAAAAAGCAAAGGAAAGCAAAGCAGAGGGTGGCAGAGCGGTGCGAGGAGCTGGGCAATGAGGAGCAGAACCACCTTGTTCAGAGAGTTTATTGCGAGTTCCCAAGAGCACTGCGTGCCCCAGGCAGTGAGCAGGTGGTGGGATTGTCTTCGTGGTAAGCCTCCTTCACCAGGATCAGATGTGGGAACAGTTTGGAGAGGAGCAGAAAGTCCCTGCAGGAGCAGTGCCCAGCTGCCCGCAGCCACCACATAAACTGTGCTTTCCTAGCAGGGGGCAGCTCCCTCGGAGCCTGCCCAGGGCTGTTTGCGTGCAGGGGCTATGGGGCAGGGAGGAAGTGGTGGGGACTGCTGCCTTCCCAGGAGGGAAGTTGCTGCCACCCCAGACAGGGGGGAGGCGAGACAGGAAGCCACAAGCGAGGAGGCAGCTGCAGCAGGAGTACGACTCCTCACCCAGCAAGGACAGAGCCCCAGGACTCTTCACCCCCACCCACCGCAGGCAGCCCCATCCTCCACCCTGTCGAGCTGGGCACAGTAGTGCAGGGCTTGGCAGAGCTCCTGGGCTGGAGGGAGGAGCCCCACCAGCTGCAGGAGTGACCCGTTTCATGGCGCAGGGAGCCCGGGCACAGCTGAGCAGCAGCGAGGACGGGCTGTCCGGGTGGTGCCGGGTGGTGAGGGCGGCCGGGGCATCAGGCGCTCCCTCCCCAGCTTCTAGTAAGGCTCATTCTTAATGAAGCGGCTGAACATGGTGAAGGCAGCGAGCGGCCGGTCCGTGGGCACCATGTGGCCGGCTCCCTGCGGGAAACAGGCAGCAGCAGGTCAGTGCCAGCCATGGGGCTGACGCTGCCTTGCGAATGCCTCCAGCCCTACACCATCTGCAGCCCAGCCAGCACCGCCCCACTCCAACCACAGCACTGGTGTCTGGCACTCCCGCCTGCGCCACAGCCCTGTCCCCGTCTCCCCGGAACCCCTCAGCTCTACCTTGACAGTGAGGAAGGCGATGTTGGTGAATTCCTTCACGAAACCTCCGATCTGGTTCTCACCCCGATCAGTGTAGAGCCAGGGCCGACGAGCCACCTGCACCTGGGACCGGCAGCAACACCCTCAGTGCCCCGGGTGCCCGAGGGCAGGCAGCCAGCCCTGCCCGCACTCTGGCCGCAGCCAGCCCTGTTGCACAACCAACTGCACAGTCTGGAGCTGGTGACCAGCCTGGCTCAGGCCCTGTCCTGCCCATTTACCTTCTGGCACAGGGAGTCCACAAACCACTCGTCCCCGAGGAAGTTGCAGGCCATGTCGACGTCCCCGTTGTACACCAGGATCCGGTATTTCTGCAGAACAGAAGGAGGGTGAGCGTTTCACATGGCAGCAGCCCCAGCCAGGCAGGAGGCTGATTTGACAGAGCCGGTCCCAGGGCCCGGTGGGCTCTCCCTGCACGCACCGTGGCTCCGAGCAGCTTCAGGTACTGATCGTTCATCTGCATGTACAGGCGCTTGTAGCTGCGGTTCACCTCAAAGCTGCAGAGGAAGCGTTTGCATCATGAGGCTGCTCGCACTTGCAGCAGTCCCTCCCCACCTGGAGCTCGCTCACCTGCACACCTGCCACTCCGGGGCATCGGGGGAGATGTGAATAGCCTTCTTCACCTCTGGGGAGTTTAGATACGTACTGAGGGCCGTGGAATTCGTGCAGGGAGGGTCCATCCGGACCTTTTTCCGGGCTACCGGCATCCGGAACAGGTTCTGGGAGAGAGTTGGGATAGTCTCTGCCACAGCAGCACCTGGTGCCACCCCACGAGAGCAGCCACTCTCTGCCACCTCCTGCCCACGGGCAGCACCAATGGCCGGGCAGAGGATGCTCGCAGCCTGGTGGCACAGCACCTGGGCTCACCTGCCGCCAGGAGAACTTCATCGGCATCCGGATGAAGGAGTTGCCCAGGTCATGTGTGATGAGATAGTCACCCTCGTACCTGTAGCCGGAAAGAGCACGGGGACAGGCTGAAAGGTCTGGAGGAACAAGGGCTCAGGGTCCTCCTTGGGGTAGTCCTCAACAGCAGCCAGACATGGTCCACCTGTCCCAGAGCCTCTGCACAGCTCACCACATCCCTCTGCCAGCGGGGACCCCACACACTGCAAACCAAAGCGAGCCAGCGCCTGGAGACCTGTCTGCCCTGTGGCCGCTCTCACCTCATGCTCCCAGGGACACCGCCATCACATGGGGCGTAAAGGTTGTAGATGTTGAGGCCGGATTCCTCTACAATCTGAATCATCTCCTCCATCTGCAACGAGCCGCAAGAAGGGTTTGGGACTCAGGATGCTTGAGGGACCGTGGGCCCATCCAGAGCCAGGTAGATGGGTGCTGCTCACAGACATTGGTGCTGGGCAGGTGCTCAGTGGCTCTGGCTCCTCTCACCTTGAGCGTGCAGTTCAGGTTGGAGTTGTCGTGGAAGTTGCACTTCCCTTGGGAGCAGCAGAAGGCCTGCAAATCCCTCCACAGCCTGCGGGCAGAGACCAGGGGACTTGGACCGCACTGCCCAGATGGCAACACCAACACAAAGCCAGCGGCCACGGCTCCAGCCGCACTGCGGGCTCCCTGCCCAGCGGCTGCATGGCACACGGCTCAGCCCGGTGCCCTGTGCACTGCACAAACAAATGTGCCCAAAGGAGCTGCCCAGGATGAGGCAGCCCCATGCGATGCCGTATCCCCGTCCTGCTCGCACAGGGATTTAGCAGTAGCACTCCCCCCTCCTCTTACTCAGTCCCCAGCAGGCCGTGGTAATAGGCAAAGTAAACCAGGGAGTTGTCATTGATCTCGTAGGAGGAGAGGCCATTTCCCACAGCGATTCCCTGCAAGACAAGAAGAAAACAACTCTGTTGTGTTCCAGCTCCCCACAGAGCAGCCACAGCAGCAGCAGCGGCAGGCAGGAAGCAGATGCGGCACTGTTTACTCCACAGAGGGAACAGGAAGGGTCGGGGGTGCCTGAGAACGCTCCCCTGGTCCCAACACGGCAGGGATGGACACGTCCACCAGCAGCTGCTGCCAGCACCCCAGGAGAAGATGAAAGGCCGCGGGGCCAGACCCGCCCTATGCTCTGGAGGGCGGCCCCGCACGTCGGCTGCACAGCCGGTCCCCACCCCAGTGTCTGCTCGAGAGCCCCAGTGAGGCCGTGCCAAGCCCTTTGCTCCACAGCTCAGCCCAAGGCCGGCGGCAGAGCACAGCCGCTCACCTTTAGGTTGAGACTGGGGTCCTGCATCACCCACTCTGCCAGCGTGGGGATATAGACCCCCCCGTAGCTCTCCCCTGTGAGGAAGAGATCATTCTTGGAGTACTCAGGGAAGAGCCGGAGGAAATCCTTCAGCGCCAGGTAGTTGTTGTGAGCAACCTGGAGGCAGGAGGAGATGGGCGTCAGGCAGCAAGGCAAGACCCCCAGCACCCAGGCTGGGCCAGGCAGGAGGCAGGTCCCTCCCAGCAGCCTGGGTCACTTGCCTCAGTGTCGTTCGTGACATACTTCTTGTCCTCGGAGTATGAGAAGCCGACGCCAGCGGGGGACTCCAGGTAGAGCACATTGGCAATCTGCAAGGGACAGCAGAGGAGGCGGAGGTCAGGGGATAACCCCGTTCCTGGCTCAGCGAGGCAGAGGGCTGCCGGCCTTGCCGGTGGCAGTACCCATGGCTGGCTGGCCTGCCCCAGGGCTGTGCTGGTGGGGCCACATTCCTGCCCGGCTCAACAGCAGACTTGAGAGGAGGGTGTGTTGGGCAGGGGGGGTGTTGTCTGTGGGAGGCTCAGCTCCATGGAGAGGGCAGGAGGAACTGGCTCAGGGCCACCCTCTCCCCACAGCCGTGGAAGGCTGCAGCGCCTGCACCCATACCTTGTTCCAGGCATAGTCGTTATACTTCAGCGTGGCTCCGTCGGGCTGGATCTGGGGAAGCACAAGGCAGTGACCAATGGGCACAACCAGGCTGGCCCCAGCAGGATGGCACGTGCCATGCCGCCTGCCAGGCCCTGGCAGCCCTGCGCCACGGGACAGCCATGACTACTAACCTGGAAGGGGCCGTGCTCTTTCAGGAATCCCTCCATGGAGCTACACCCAGGGCCCCCCATTCAGCCACAGCACCAGGGGGCTGCTCTGGGGGTTGCTCTGGGCCTCCACAAACCTACAGACGCACAGTTATCAGTGCCCAGCCAGGCCACCACCCCGGCTGCTCAGGGTGCAGCCCGGCACCGGCCCCGGTACCGGCACAGCCCAACGTACCAGTAGTGCAGGTGCTTGCCCGGCCCGGCGCAGAGGTAGCCCGAGAAGTGCCGGAAGGAGGGCTGCTTGGTCAGCCCCGGCAGGAAGGTCACCTCGTGGCCCGGGGGGGCGGCCCGGCTCAGCCCCAGCAGCAGCAGCGCGCACAGCAGCACCGGCCCCATCTGCGGGGGAGCAGGAGGGGAGGGCGGGGCGCTGCTCGCTGGGAACGGCCCCGGCCCAGACCCCACCAGCGCCCCACGGCTGCCCCGGGCCCTCCCAGTCCCCCGGTCCCGGCTCGGTGCCGCCGCCCCCCCGCCCGACCCCGTCCCGCTGACCTCGGCCGCTCCCAGCGCGGCTCTCGCAGGCGGCGATCCCCGCGGGCACATGACACCCGCCCATATGACCTCCGGTGCCCACGTGAGCGGGGCGGGGCCTCGCCGTGGCCAATCAGCGCCCCGGGGGCGGCCGGTGCTTGCCCCGGTCCCGTGCGCGCACGTGGAAGCGGCTCCGGTCCCGGTCCGCGGGACGGGACACCCCTCCTTCCTCCCGGGGCGGGGGGGGAGAGGACCGCAGGCGTGGGGGTCCCCGCTCCCGGTGCCACTCCGTGCCCTGCCCCGGGACACCGCGCGGGAACCCCCACCGTGCCCGACCCTCACCCCTTGCGGGCACGGCGGCGGGGCTGCGGTGCCCCGGTCCGCACCGATGGGCACTTCCAGGTGCCACCAGTCACAGCAGGGACGGCCGGGCGCCACCGTTTACGACTGGGTGTCACCGGGCTCTGCAGCAAGCGGCACCGGGCAGGCAGTGCGTGGAGCACCTGTGGGCCCAGGGAGCCCGATGGGGCCCGGTGGTGGCCCAGCAGACGTGGGGGCCCGTCCCACCCTCCCCCGCGGCACTAGGACCCCTCTGAGCCAAGTCCCCAGGGGCTGTCACCGCCTGGCAGCAGCTGTGACGGGGACAGTTAAAAATAGCGGTGTCGGCGATGGCTGCCGGGTGCCGCCTTGCCGCGCGCTTCCCCCGCGTCCACGGCACCAATGTCCGCCTGGACGCCTCGCGCACGCGGGCCACCCGGGTGGAGAGCTTCGCCAACGGGCTCTGCTTCAGCCAGGAGCCGCTGGCGCCGGGACAGGTCTTCCTGGTGGAGATCGAGGAGAAGGAGCTGGGCTGGTGTGGCCACCTGCGCGTGGGGCTGACGGCCCACGACCCCCAGAGCCTGGAGGTGGTGCCTGAGTACTCGCTGCCAGACCTGGTCAACATGGGGGACACCTGGGTGTTTGCCATCACCCGGAGCCACAACCGTGTCACGGAGGATGGGGAGGAGGCACGGCCACGGGCACAGGGTTCCCCATGGGAGCCCTTCCTGCT